AAATCGGTACTTCCACACCCCATATGCAAATGAGGTCTGAGAGCGAATAAAGTAGTCCGTTCAAGAGTAGCGTTTTTCGAAACATAGCAGAAATAAACAATATTTAGAAGTACGATACTTTACGTTCGGGTACATGAATATATTTGCCGAGTGAAATGAAATTTGAACAACAGTAATGGTACTTCTAAGCAGTAACTTATTTTGACTAAAACTAATTTGCATATCACCCATGCAATGATGTTTTTGGTATTTTCACGGTCAATATGCAAATGAACAAGGTATTGGCGATTCGCTCCACTTGGATTGCCCCTAAAATCACTTTAATTGTGTGTATCAGTGTGTGTGTGATTTCTAGTGTTTTCACGTATTAATTCTTCTGTGATTTGTTTGGCTCGGCCGATTTCGCTCAAACTTAGCAGGTAGGTCAAACCTTCACCTAGTCTCGCTTGCCAGACCTCTGGTCTGACTGAGTTTTACGAAAGGGCGCCTCTCGCGGCGAAGCCGCGAAAGCGAGGTCGTCAGACCGAGTATATTTTAGTATACTAAAACAGAAATGCTCAGCAATGCAAAAGAAGGATGGATGTTACTTTTCATTATACACATCTCTGTTGATACAATCCCTCACATATTCTATTCCCAGTTATACCTGCGTAAATGGATTAGCCTCTTTTGATGTTGACATTCAGAGTAAAATCACGTAACAGGCTGTTAAAATTGGCTGTTGCATACACTTTCGCCGGTCTGGAAAATGTGTTTAGTTAGCTCTCATTCAAGCAACAATGCAGATTTCCCAGTGGGAGTGAAACTATTCGACTCTGCCATTTAAAAATAGGGGTGTTTTGAGCAAAAAACGAATAACCCTGGAGTGCACACAACACACTGAATTTCGGAACAAATCTTGCATTATTTACAGCAGCAGAATACCACAGAAATATCAGACGAAACATGGAAACACTATATATATGTATTTCGGCCTGAACCCTCTCTATTGCAATTCCAGGAATTACCCCCCATATGTGCAACCATTTTCCACCTTGGTACCACCCAAGCCTGAAAACAAAATCTTAATACCACGCTGAAGCGTTTGGTAACAAGTATATCGTGTGTTACTGTCGGAGCACGTAGAGCTACAATGCCCGGTGCCATTTCAATGAAGTCATTTGTTATTTAAATTCGTATTTCAATAGGGTGCTTCCATGCACGGCAGAATTGACATACGACACGAGAGTTTTAAGTTATGGATTTAATTAGGTTCACCAAAGGCGCGCAGTTGAGTTGAAGCATATACACAATGTCCAAGCACAAGGCAAGATTAGTTTCGTAGATAACAACGAGTCAACAAACAAGCCACTTTCTGTTTGGTTCGACTGGTGTTAGAATTGAGCAGCCAGTAAGACACAGTTTTGTCTCGACTCGGTCGACAAGTGTGCGACCTTTCACAAAAGAGGGTTAACTAGAAGGTGATTTGTTTATGCAGATGTTTGTAACAGAATCTACATTGTATAAATAAATAAATATGCGCATGCGTGAAAAACATCCATGTGTAACTAAAGTTACGCTCACCTACCTATGTGGAGTTGACTGTTCCGTCGAGCAAGGCAACAAGGCTGGTAGCAGTGCCCGTGATGTTACCGGCATTCTGATTAGTCGATCAAGTTCTAATAGCATGTCTCCTCATGTCTTCTAACCTGGCGCTCGCACCAATTAGACGGTTGGCCATGCTATATATAGAGCAAGATTTTTTCACTCTGAAAGCTGTCTGCGTTCCTAAAACGTTTTTCTTTGTTACGTGCAAAAATAGTTATATTTGTGTCAAGTATGGTAGTTTTAGCAGTACATGACGAACAGTTACGTAACAAAATGTCGCTTTCTTTTATGCACTATCAATATTCATCATTATTCATTACGTCATTAAATTACTTCTTTGTTGGAGTCTGTTACTTGCAGCAAAGATGATGTGTGAGGGCGTCCTTCGCAGTGATCTGTTTGATTATCATTAAATGGTAGTTAAATGATGATGTTTTGTTTTTACATACTTATGTGAGTACGGCTAAAATAAAGCATTTTATTCAAATGTTCCTTCCGCTTCGTGCATGGACTAGCACTATATTTTTTTTTTCAAAAAGAAGAGCATTTACCAGATTGAGAAATAAATGCAGGTCTTACTCAGAGAATCCTCGACACAGAGACGATTTTTGACAACCCAAGGATGGGAAATGTGTGAGCAGTGTGCGCATATATAACACTCCAACAACAAACTACTATTTTCATTTTAAAGGTGGTTTACAATGTTGGTTTCTGTTACAGGGTCAATCAGAGGAAAAATCTAATGATCTCCCTATATTGTAATCTATATATCTATAATATTGTAATTTGTTCATAAAAATAAAGTATTATTATAATAAACAACATGTGAATATCACTACGAAAAGAGATTTCAGAAACAAAAGTGACTCGATTATTAATATTTTTTCATAATTGTATAATTAAAGTTGCCTTTGTAAATTTAAACATTCACATGTCTGAACAAAGGAAAGTGTTTGAACGTGTGACGGTTGTTACCACGATTTTACTTTGAACGTCCGAATGGGTGTCGATACGTTTTAGAAAAAGTGCTGACACGGTATTTTACGGAGCGGCAAATTATATTATTTTCGTTGCTAGATCTATAATAATTCTTCATACATTTTACAGAATTGGACAAAGTACTAACGGTTGATGGGACATATGGTACAGCTATTGCTGTTAATAATCAGATGCCAGGACCACCCATTATTGTCTACAAGGACACAGAGGTATTTTATGATTGATGGGTTTGTTTAAGTTTCTATGTCAATGAAATTTAGAATATCGTTATATCATATGTAGTCGACCATAGATATCCCAGCATGGAATTCTATAGTTGAGCGAAGTCAGTCGTTTTTCTTTACAATAGGGTGCATACTCATTTGTTTTATTTGTGTGTTTTATCGAGATATATGTTTTGTCCAGCCACGCATGTATGTGTTTATGAGACATGGAGGTACATGTGTGGCACACTATGACTTATATGCACTGTGTTTCCAACCAATATGTTATTTATTTTTATTCAATTTTCATTGCTATCATTCAAATATCTACACTGTATCTGGTGATAGGTTGTCAAAATAAAGCAATTTGAACATACGAAGCCACCAAACGTAATACAGAAAGAGCTAGTGTAGTAGTTTATTTCTAAAGATTCGTTTCTACGATCAACATTCCTCAGAGCGCCTACCAATCAATCTATGTATTAACAATTATTGGCCGACCACTTCAATACATATGCATGTTAATGAGATACCATTTCGAGAGTATTCGCCGAGACATGGATATCTGCAGTCGTGTACTTGATTATCACTGTCATTTGTTGATAGGTTGTAGTTAACGTTGCAAACAAACTGTTATTGGAAGGCATAACCCTTCACTGGCATGGTATAACACAGAAGAAGACTTCGTGGATGGACGGCGTTGGTATGGTATCACAATGTCCCATTAATCCTGGAGAAACATTTCAGTACAGGTGAGTTATACTACCATAGTAATATAGTATTGCATGCAAAGTTGCGCGTGTGTGTTATGCCGCCAAGGGTACGATAGAGATTTATAACAAACGCGAAATAAACCCATTGAATAATTGGTAGATTACAGAACACCTTATACAAACTATTGCTATCATTGTAGGTTTATAACAAACCAGATATCAATAATTTGCTGTCATACATTTGTAGGTTTATAACACACCATATGTTAATATCACGGTGTCATTTATTTGTAGGTTTATAACAAATCATATGTCAATATTACGGTGTCATTAATTTGTAGGTTTATAACAAACCATGTGTCAATATTACGGTATTATTTATTTGTAGGTTTATAACAAACCATATGTCAATAATACGGTATCATTTATTTGTAGGTTTATATCAAACCATATGTCAATATTATGGTGTCATTTATTTGTAGGTTTATAACAAACCATATGTCATTTTTACGGTATCATTTATTTGTAGGTTTGTCATTTTTACGGTATCATTTATTTGTAGGTTTATAACAAACCATATGTCAATATTACGGTATCATATATTTGTAGGTTTATAACAAACCATATGTCAATATTACGGTGTCATTAATTTGTAGGTTTATAACAAACCATATGTCATTTTTACGGTATCATTTATTTGTAGGTTTATAACAAACCATATGTCAATATTACGGTGTCATCTACTTGTAGATTTATAACATACCATATGTCAATATTACGGTGTCATTAATTTGTAGGTTTATAACAAACCATATGTCAATATTACGGTGTCATTAATTTGTAGGTTTATAACAAACCATATGTCATTTTTACGGTATCATTTAATTGTAGGTTTATAACAAACCATATGTCAATATTACGGTATCATTTATTTGTAGGTTTATAACAAACCATATGTCAATATTACGGTGTCATTAATTTGTAGGTTTATAACAAACCATATGTAATTTTTACGGTATCATTTATTTGAAGGTTTATAACAAACCATATGTCAATATTACGGTGTCATCTACTTGTAGATTTATAACATACCATATGTAAAAATTACGGTATCATTTATTTGTAGGTTTATAACAAACCATATGTCAATATTACGGTGTCATCTACTTGTAGATTTATAACATACCATATGTACAAATTACGGTATCATTTATTTGTAGGTTTATAACAAACCATATGTCAATATTACGGTGTCATTAATTTGTAGGTTTATAACAAACCATATGTCATTTTTACGGTATCATTTATTTGTAGGTTTATAACAAACCATATGTCAATATTACGGTGTCATCTACTTGTAGATTTATAACATACCATATGTACAAATTACGGTATCATTTATTTGTAGGTTTATAACAAACCATATGTCAATATTACGGTGTCATTTATTTGTAGGTTTATAGCAGACAAAGTTGGAACTCATTGGTATCATTCACATTATGGCACTCAACGAACCGATGGCTTATACGGAGCGTTTATTGTCTTAGATGTTGACGATGACGATGCCAGCAGTATAATAAGTGATACAGGAAATCCTACCAAAAGGAATTCTCCCGAGGAGGAAAACGTTAACAAGGAAAATAGAATGGTGAGTTGATAACAATTGTTTTCTGTTCAACGCCTTGTTCGTACTTGACAATTCAATGCATTCATAAATATGCTAAACCTCATTAATCTCTGACCCCCACATTCCTTGATCAAACCAGGTCATTCTAACGTAGGAACTTATCGCTACTACCCATACTACAACAAATCAGTACATTTTATAATTTGTGTGAGCTTATCACTTTGGGTTATGACCCAGATATATTGTTATCAATTGCAAACATTATGAATACTGTATAGAACTGTTAAATCAAATACTCGCCACCGTTTTGTAAAAAGCTAGCAAACTATAGACCTATGTAACCATGGTAAAAGTGAAGAGAATATGCGTCTAGGATTCTACTGATTTTATTCAAAGAAAAGAGATCAGCCAAGTCCTGACTTCGTTGGAGAGTTCATACTGTTACTGCATGATTGGATGAGACCTCCTACGCTCGACGTCAACAATAATATCCTATGGGAACTGCAAAGGTGTGTATAGTAATATACCTCTAATATTTACATACGCTAGAAAATGGCTTGGTCAGGTGTTCACTAATACATATATTTGTATTTGCATATGTACTTGATATTATAATGTCTGTGGTTAATCACGATTCCACTTTATGCTCTGTGTAGATTTACGCCTGGATATGATAATTTAAGAAATTGTTTTTATCAGACGAGACAGCTCGACGGTACAGAAATTGGTGTAACTCCATTTGTATCTGGTCTGATCAATGGAAAAGGTTAGTCACACTGTTGGAGTTTAGATATTAAATGATAAATATGTTGCTCGTTTATTCACAATTTGCTTGTATCATTAATCCCTACATGTTATCATTCATCAATTGAATGATAAACGGATTGACGCATTTGTTCATTAATAAATAAATTGGCTGATCAATTGAATTAGTCAGTTATTCTGTCATTCATTTCAATTTATCCATAAATCTATTGACTAATGCATTAACAAAATTATAGATTCATTCATTCATTTTTAAATTGATTTATTTAATCATGCATACATTGAATCTATTAATTCATTAATTTATAGAATCATTGATTCATTCGTTTACACTTTGATAAATGAGTAATTTGATTCATCTAGAGATAAATTTATACATACATTGATAGTTTTATTTATTTATTTATTTATTTATTTATTTATTTATTTATTTATTTATTTATTTATTTATTTATTTATTTATTTATTTATTTATTTATTTATTTATTTACTTATTTATTTATTTATTTATTTATTTACAGGTCGGCGATATGATGCTTCCGGTAATGCGATGAAAAGTTACATTCCCGTAGAAGAGATTGAGATTGTTAAAAAAGGCACCTATAGATTCCGTCTTATAAGTGCAGCTATGATGTACCCATTCCGCTTCTCAATTGATGGACATGAATTGCATGTGTTTGCAACAGATGGAAATCTCATTAAAACTACGACTGTCGATGCTCTTATAATCAACTCTGGAGAAAGGTTTGATTTCTATATTGAGACATCGGCTCCCGTAACGAACTATTGGATCAGAGCAGAAACCCTGGAAACAGAGACAATACTTGGGGTACGTACGTCTTATACGTTCAGACTAGGTCATCTGCCCACAGTTATCATCTTAAAGGGTTTAATCAAGTGGCGACAGTGATTCTCTGCTTATGCTTACACAGATTACACATTCTTGGTGAGTCGGGAATTCAATTGCTAAAATAGAATGTGCCTGTCAAAACTTCTTGCCTGTTCAAAACCACATCACAACTAAGTCAACGCCGGCATGTTGTTGAGGTTGCGCGTTGTGACAATAACTTCTGGCTTTGTTTTAATAGACACCTATATCACCTGGTATTGTACGAGGAATACTGCGGTATAGGTCAGCCGATGATATGGAGCCAACATCTACAAGACAAACGTGCTCAGACAATGATCGATGTCTAGTTATGAACTGTCCGTTCAGGTACCAAATATTGAAGATAGATATAAAATCGGTATTAGTTTCTACTATGAGATTGAAGGTATATTCTATGCCTCAGCATACTTGCCAATACATGCCCCGGTCTAAAACCTAAAAAGTTGTTTTTATTAGTTCTGTAGCAACTACTTATGCGGGCATCGTGTATGTTTATATGACAATATTTTCTTTATTTTACCTAAGCTAAGATATATGGTTTATAAAACTGCTGTGCTCATCTAAGTATAAATCAAAGGATCGTGGGATTATATGCAGTAAAATGAGTTCAATTGCAACAAGCTATGGATAACATCACCTTTATAGTAATGATGAGTGTATTCTTTTCACTGTTGGGCATCACTAGGTATTACCCAGAAACAGCTAAGACTGACTGTCTATCTTGGTCGGAGGTAAAAGCACCTAAGAGAAGGGCTGCTCCTGCGATTTCAAACAAGTACACATTCCAGGAGAAATTTATCAATTTCCACTTTTCTGGGGACACTTCTTTAAGATCTTCAGTGAATGGTCGCCGATTCATCCCACCATCAACACCTCCAATGGTAAGAGTGATTGGGTGACATATTTATTTATTTCAATTATCTCACATAGTCTCGTTGCGGGCAAAAGGAAAGCCAATGTATGAATGTCGGAAAGCAAATTTCAACGACCTTAAGGAAAGTGTCCGCACCAGCAAATATCTCCGCAGTGCAATGACTATGAATGGAGTGTGTCGAATTTACTGCTTATACGCGGCCAGGGCAAGTTACGATCTAGATGAAGTTGATACAATTTTTGCATTATATGTTTAAATATTTCAGATTCTTCCCGGGGGTGATGAGAAAGATTACATGACAAAATGTAATGACACTGAGTGTGCACAGCGTCACTGCGATTGTACTCACTACATTACACTCCCATCCGATGCCATTGTGCAGATTGTATTATATAATATCAGAGTTGGTAGGTAATGCTTTAATAGATATTCTGGTCTTGGTTTGATAACCATGAAAGGAGAATATCACGCAATTTAAAAATAACGTCTACAACAGTTTCTATAATATTTGCTCAATTTAATGCTGAGTAATACATTTCAAAAATCGCGTATTTCTTCGCACATGAGTTCTGTTCAGCTAAGAAACTAATTATAAGTAATATAGTTATATATTGTGGTTATATAAGATGAGTGGATTCCTTGTCCGGTATGTCTGGTCCTTCTACAGTATATTGAGTATTCACGTTACATAAACAGAACATATATCTTACCCTTCATTCTTAACTAGTTTTTTTTTCGATCAAGTGTTGGTTATCTTGGTTCATCTTCAGGAGAAGGTCTAAGTGGTACATCTCATCCGGTTCATTTCCATGGCCACCATTTCCACGTACTCAAGTCTGGTTTTGGTACTTATGATACCACTACTGGCAGGTTTCTTGACGATACGACTGACATAAGCTGTGGCGACGACATCCCACGCTGTAATAGCGGTTCATGGAGCAACTCGAGCTGGTCCGGTGATGATATTCCGGGGTTGAACCTAGTAGATCCGCCGATCAAAGACACGGTCATCGTACCAGTTGGTGGATATGTGGTAATTCGATACAAGACTGACAATCCAGGTATGATGTTGTTAATTAGTCAGAATCACTTACTTAATTTCGATTAACACTCGCGCACATTACGCACCCTCCAAAACAGATATTACCAACGGTTAGTCCCAGGACTACTTATATACAATCTATACAGATAGGTCATACGATTTATGCTACAGTTGGTAAACAACTTGGTAAAGCTGTTCATGTGCAAAGGAACGTCAACTTTGAGAGTGGAACAGGTGCTGCAAGTGTAACTCCCGTGTAATTTGCTTCAGTAAACTTGTAATTTCGAACTCATCTATACTAATCAATTAAAACATATCCTGCTGAAGATTTTTAATTGAAAAAAATAGACGTTATTGGGAAGAGTTAAGGTAATTTCAAAAACGATAACACGTGTTTTCTTTTGTCGTGAATTTTATCTCTGAAACATAGTAGCAAATTCTCTTAGTGCAGAAGTGCATTTGAAAACATTTGAAGAATATATTTCGTCACACGATCCATTATGGTAGTATTTACATGAATGGTCTACTTAATTAGGAGCATAGTGCTGTTATTCTATCAGTAAAGTTAAAGCAATTTGGTCAATAGGTCACAATATAAAACACGTCATACGATTACCGTAACTCAGTACATTTGCTACAGGGTGGTGGTTTGTACACTGTCATATCGAGATTCACCAAGTAGAAGGAATGGCTTTGATGATCAAAGAAGGAGAAGAAAAGCAAATGACCAAACCACCGAAGGATTTTAAGACATGTGGTAATTTCCAATGGTCGAGAGAGGAGTTTAAAGAAATAATATCAATGGGTAAGACTTTCAGATTGGGCTGATTACTGAATAGGTGATTTTCCGTTAAACTGCGAGATCTATCGAGTTTGGGTGAAAGACGCGCGCCGAACATCTTCCGCAAAAATCGAACAATTTGAATTTTGAGTTTGAATTTCTTTATTTTTAATAGCCGATCTTTGACAGGGGAATATTGCGTTTGAATAACCCTCACTTCATAGAAATTGACCATCATTAAAATGTGTACAGTAAATGCGATGTTTGGAGCCACTTCGACACTATGACCTTTGATTTCACGTTCGATTTCACGCACAACGCGGGATCTCGCAGTGAACGTAAAATAGTCTATTAGAACCTTTTACCCGATGATGAAAGGTCAATAAAATTATCTATGAAATGTGGGCGATACATACTCGTCCACTCTTCTACAAGATAGCCCCCCCCCCCCATGATGCTATACAAAGGATATGTAATGAGTTACCTCCATTGGTTGTATAGTGGCATATAAATTACACGTTGTTGATATGATTGTTACGTTGTTCCCTTCGTACTGTGGGTTTTATTTGTCAGAATGGGAAATATCACGCAATTTATATCAACTATATCAGTTACAGTTGAGCGCTATACACTATACCACGTGGATGTCGCTATAGAAAATTGTGCCCCCGATATGGTGAACAACAATAGTAGAGTTTCCTTATAAACGTGTTTTAGTCCACCATCTTGGAAATTTTGCGCCATCATTACTCATTTGGTCATTTCATTTCCTAATAAGGTCGCGTACAGTGGAAATGGATTGACAACTGTGTGTATATAAATTAATATAATCTATACAGAATACTTACCAATAATTTGACGAAGAGATATAGCACGTTGATCAGTGACCGTAGAATTCACACAATTGTAACCCATGCAGTATTTTATTGTATTGTGCATTTATCTTTTGCAGGCTCCAAACCATCGCTGAACACCTTGGTATTCTGTCTAGCTGTGTACATAGCATTCAATGCGGTCACTGCCATATAGACTTCAGTGAATTCACCAACCTCAGACAACAACACAATACACCCTGGGACGTCGAAAATAACAGGTGAAGGCAAAGTCGACCAAAGCAAACTGTGTTTGACTGTGTCGTCATTCGGCAATTTGAATATTATTATTCAAACTTGAATGTTATTATTCAATTGTGAATATTATTATTCAAATTTGACTTTATTAGTTATTGACTGACGATCAAAACAAAATCGCAATGATCGACCTTTCTTTCCGCCTTCTTTCCTGTCTGCAAAATAAAAAATGATAGGAAAATATAATAATTGAATATACGTACTAATTTGCATATCTGTAAATAGTGAGTTATAACAGATTATAACATGTTTTAATTATACTAGACAACAACTACTCACACTTTTTGTGAAATTTGGTTATTAAGTGCACAACAATGTACATTAGTGAATTTTGTAAATCTGCGTGTGTGTGTTACATTAGTTTTTTTTTAAATTCAATTGTCAGAAATTGCATTTTTGTTAAAGAA